GGTGCTGTGGCTCAAGTGGTAGAGCACTAGCCTTGAGCTGAAGAGCTGAGGGACAGCGCCCAGGCCCAGAGTTCAGGCCCCACGACCGGACCCCCCCCCAAAAAAAAGAAGCTTCATACTTACATTACCAAATTAATTAAAACTATTGTAAATTAATTAAAATCAATTGCATCAATCACATGTAGCCACTGATACCCATTTTCTTTTTAGGCTTCTAAATGAACTCCACCCAGACACAAGAGTACATAATTGCGTTATTTAAGAAAAAGAATGAATGGTGACTTGTTATTCTCTATTGTTAACCTGACAACTTGCATTTTTCTGGTGACTGTTCCTTATTCACAAACACAAAGCCATGGTTTCCTTTGTACATGGTAAGTTAGTTACTCAATATGATGTGGCCAGCATGGATGATTTGGGGAATCTCATATTGATAGATATAGACTGTATCAATAAGCATGAGTGATAGTGTGGTAATAATGCTGACTACTTATCAACCACTTCAAATATAGAAGGTCTTTCTCTAGATGATTATTTGCTTAAATCACTGATTTTGATCTTCAGGATTAAAAGAAAAAGAAAGAAAAGAAAACTCACAACAATTTAATGAACTAGGGACCATTGATATCTTGCTATCTCCATTTTATAGTAAAAGAAACAGAGTCACAGGATAGATGACAGATAGTAGAATGCAAGTAGGAACTCTATTTATTAATCTGCCTTTAAAAGTTAATTCTGACCTCTGACTCAATGTGAAACTCAATGTACAGTGTTTCTGTGTGTTTGTGTTTGTGTGTGTGTGTGTGTGTGTGTGTGTGGCCATAGCTGTACTGGGATTTATACTCAGGGCCTTGCTCTTGCTTGTCTTGATTGGTAGGCTGGCTTCCTACTAGTTGAGTGAGCCATGATTCCAGCCTGTCCTTCTGGTTTTTTGGGGATGGAATTGAATCAACTTTTCTGCCAGGTTGGCTTCAAACCAAGATCTGTCAGATCTCATCTCCAGAAGATCTAGGATTACAAGCATGAGCCACCATCAGTTTATCTGTGTCTTTTGATAGGGCAGTGAAGTACATTTACAATATAACATAGTACTATAAAGTACACATTAATTTTTGGGTATATTTTACTTTACTCATGCCTTTTTATATTCCTGTGAAGATAAATTCATAAATAGAATGGTTACGTGGTAAAGAGACATTCCATATTCCAGAGTACCATTTTGTGATTTTTCATATTGATTGATATAGACTGTGTAATGTTTTAACAGTAATAATAATGCCTATTTATTGATTGTAGAACCAGAATTACTAAGTGGGTATACAGATGCATTTGACACATCTGGGATTGGCACTGGATATTTTAGGAAACTGACCTAATGTTCTGGTTTTCCTTCACTTATTTCTTAAATATTATAAGGATATTGTTCTCAAAAATCTTACCTGTAATGCTTCCTGGGATTTCTCCAGCTCAGTGGAAAATCTAATCTGTTGATTCTGCTTAGCTTTTCTCAAGTTCAAGTCAAATTTGCACCCTTGCAGTCTCAGCAAGCTCAGCTCATTCTCTTCAGTCAACAATCGGAACCTTAGCCCATATTCAGACTCAATTATCTCTTTAAGATTCTGCTCCTCTTCCTTCCTCAAGTAGAAATAAATGACAGATTTCAGGTGAAACATGACAGCCTGGCCACATACCCTCACTTTGCTGCCATTTGTAACCACAGTACAAAAGTAAGAAAATACAAGGCATAGAGTTTTTGTTGTTGTTGTTGCTGTTGTTTTTAAAGGTAAATACAGAAGACAAAGGGAGTTTGAGTCCATCGGTGAGGATATCAACCCAACCTTAAAACATGGAATGCAGATAAAAGAATGTTCACTGATTTAGAGATGCTAAGGAAGCTAAGTCTCTGACTAAAGAAAAAGAGATCAAAAAGTTAAAATTAGGAGGTATTTATGAATGGGATTTACTGATGCTTTTGATGGAAGATGGAGTCAAGGATAGAAGATACCCAAGTTTTTATAGTAAGCAACTAGATATATTGAACATAAAACTTTTCCATTTGTAAGCCTGAGCTAGAGATAGATAGCCATTTTAGAAAATATATTTAATCTTATGAAGCTCAATGGCATCAAAATTATCAAGATGATAATTTATCCTCAGTTTTTTTATGACTATGTCACCTGATTATTGTAATTGTTGCTTTCCACCTAGGATTTTTTTTACCCTCCTGTAATCTATTTTCATACTTTTCAATGATTTCCTTTATTTAAAGTTATGTATCTGATATGATTGGAACTATTGATTGATTGATTGATTATGCTGGTCCTGGCACTTGAACTATGGGCCTGCACACTATCCACTGTCCTGGAACTTTTTTTCTCATAGGTACTTCTTTATCATCCAGCTTTTTGGTACTTAATTGGAGACAAGAAAGAGTCTAGAGTTTCCTGCCCTAGCTAGTTTTGAGATGAGATCTTTAAAGATGTGAGGATCATGACTCAAAGCCAGTCCAGGAAGGAAAGTCAATGAGACTCTTATTGCCAATTAACCACCAGAAAACTGGAAGTGGCACGGTGGGTTAAAGGGGTAGAGTGCTTGCCTTGAGCCAAAAAGTTCATGGACAGGGATCAGGTCCTGAGTTCAAGCCCCATGATGGACAAGACAAAAAGAAAAAGAACAAGACAAGAAAGAAAGAAAATGGATATTTCAGTCTCCTGAGAACCTAGAATTACATCTTGAGAATAAATTCTACAAGGTCAAGCTCTTTTTTTGCAATGCCAAATACTTAGACTCTACACAATCCCTGGCAAATCGGGGGTCCTCACTACTGGTTGACTCTGTATGTGTACAAATGTGTATATAGACGAATATATACACATCCATATATATATAGAGAGAGAGATTTGTTTTGAGCACATATCACTAAGCAATTCTTCTCCCTTATAATTACCAAGTGGACATTTATATTCTTTAAAAATTGGGAGAAAGCCTATAATCTGAGATGCCTAGAGCACAATAGAGTTAAGTATAAAGACATGGTTTCAAATTAGAAATGAATTGTGAGAAACAGATGGCAAGTCCTTAATTTAGGTAGCCGTTCGTAAACTGATCTTTGAAGAATTTCACAATTTACAAGCAGCCCCATTTTAGAGAATAGGGGATATTTATTTTCCTTTATCATTGTTTGAAATGTTATTAATCTTTTTAAAAAATTCTTTCCAACAAAGAAGGCAACTGCCCGCCTCATTACCAATTTAGTATAATTTGTAGTTCTCTTACCTGAGCAAAGTCCAGCATATTGTTATATTTAAAACATGTTTGCAAAAACAAATGTTCAGTAGAAACAAGTGGAAGAAAGGAAGGAGCAAAGATGGAAAGAGAAAGAAAGAGAAGGAAGGAAGGCAGGCAGGCAGGCAGGCAGGCAGGCAGGAAGGAAGGAAGGAAGGAAGGAAGGAAGGAAGGGAAGGAAGAAGAAAAGAATAACAATAAGATGTGCACTTTTTTCTGCAAACTTCCTTTTCTTTGGTCATCTTTCAATTGAAATTCTAATGTTTTTCTTCTTGGCTCTGAAGAGGTTTTATACACACACACACACACACAATCACAATATTAGCATTCTCCGGTCTATGGATTTCAAATAATTTTTTCCTGCTTTGTCATTTGTCTTTTGCCTTTGTTTACAATACGTTATCTGATTTCTAACACTGCTGGTAATTTTCTCCCAGGAATCAAGATAAGCACTGACCTGAATCATCTTCATTCTTTCTTGCTCATCAGCCAGGATACTTCTGGCCACTTCAAGCTTCTCCCTTAGTGCAGTCAGTATTTCCTGGAACAATTTCCTGGACTTCTCAGCAGCCTCTTGTATTCCATAGACCAGGTGAAGGTGGTGCTCCGGGGACTGGAAGCATTTGTTGCAAAGTGTAATTTGGTCTTCATCACAGAACAGACAGAGTGGTTCCTGGTGGACTTCACAATACTCATCCTCTGCCATGTTGTGCTGTGACTCAGGCCCTACTCTTCAGCTTTTGTCTACTGTGGAATGCTTTCTTGTACAGTGAACAGTTACAGGGGCAGGTTTCCTTCAGGTAGTGGAGCGGGCAGACTTCAGAACTTCAGGGTTCACAGTGAAGGATCCAAGATCAAGGAGAAAGCACCTGCAAGCAGTGCAGGTCAGCACTTTGTGTTCTTCAAGTGCCACAAACTCCTGCAGTCACATGGGGCAGGGAAGCCAAATTCCTTCAGTATCCCTAGATCAGAGGAGCTCTCTCAAGTTTTCTGACAACCTTAAGCAACAGCGTGATCATTAATGACAAGCAACAGCATAGCCCAACATCTCTCCATAAGTCATTCAAAAAGAAGTGCTCAGTGGAAGGCTCAATGCTAAGACAGCTCAGAGGACACCAATTTAAGAACACACTCACATCCACCCTAGCACTGGGAAAAAGCCAGCAAGTAAGTCATTCCTTACATATTTCTTAGAGATAAAGAGCAAAATTTAAGGAGACACTTGCTTCTCCTCAGCACATGAGCACAAGAGCCTAAGTCTTAGGTGTATCCTCAAATTTGGCACTTAAATGACCAGAGCTTGACTAATCCTAACAGGTTTGGTGACTTGCATGGATGAAACCATGAGGAGTTAAGAATAAAATACAGATGGGCTGAATTTGATCAAAGTATAGTATATAAATGTGCTAACTTGTCACAATGAAGCCCTCTCTTTTTCACAATTAGCTGTGTTAATTGTGTTCTGGTAGCTCTTGCCTGTAATCCTAGCAACTTGGGAGGTTAAGATCCGAGGCTCTCCATTCAAATCCAGCCCAAGAAGGAAAGTCCAAGAGACTTTATTTTGGGGGGGGGGGCGCGGTTGTGGGGCCTGAACTCTGGTCCTGGGCGCTGTCCCTCAGTTCTTCAGCTCAAGGCTAGTGCTCTACCACTTGAGCCACAGTGTCACTTCCGGCTATTTTCTTTTTTGTTTATGTGGTGCTGAGGAATCGAACCCAGGGCCTCATGCATGCAAGGCAAGCGCTCTACCACTGAGCCACCTTCCCAGCCCCCTCCAAGAGACTTTTATCTCAAACAAATACCCCAAAAGCTAAAAGTAAAGACGTGGCTCAAGTGCTAGAACATCAACTTTGAGCAAAAAGGCACAGCACCCAGGCCTGGAGTTCAAGCCTCAGAACTTGGCATAAGAAAAAGAGTATGAGAGAAAGAGACAGAGAGGGGGGAGGTTACCCCTATTCAGATTCCCTTGCTCAGTTACGACAGTTGACTCTGCCTTGCTGTCTAGAGGAGCAGATTCTTTGACCAGCTATCAAGGTGGCACAAATGATTTCCCTCTTACCTGATCAGCATGGTTCTCCAACAGTTGGCTCCAAATTCTCGGTAATCTCCAAAGCGTGGGTTCAGAAGACTACAAGGAAGAATTCTCTAGTCCAAATCCTATCATCTGCCCCCCCAAGGAGATTTCATTCTTCTGTAAAGATTTTGGTACCACCCACCTAATTTAAATCTTTCACCTAGAACCCGGAACTCATTTGCAATTGATAGCTAAACAGCATTCAACACACAAAAAAATTCTTAGAATCTCAACTCCAAATTTCCTGAACACAATGGAGGCCATCCTTCCAATAACTTAGCTATGGTCTTCCCATTTTATGTTTGTGTGTGTGTGTGTATGTGTATATATGTGTGTGTGTATATATATATGTACCCACACACACTCCAACCCTCTTAAGGAATGACTACACTATTTTAAAACCCATATTGTGTTTCTAATCACTACCTATTTGCATAAGATTCAGATCCAGATGGTTTACAAGTTTCAAGCAATCTGCCCCTCCCTTACTCTCCACCAATCTCACCCATAGATTCCTATCCTTTGCCCATAAGTACCCTTTGCTGTTTTGTTTTGCTACCACAGACTGCAGTGCTTGGTGTTTTAAATACTGGCTCCCTTTTCTTTCTTCCCTTTACTTCTCAGTTTCAAATATTAATTCCACCGTGAGACCTGACTGGACTATTAAATGTGAAATACTTCCTATTATTAACACTCTATTGGTATTTAAATGAATTTATCTTTCTGTGAACAGGTTCACTTGTAAGTCACTCTCCATCAGAATTAAACTCCTCTGATACCGTGCATCTACAGCTGATATACCATAGTTTTAGCAAGTGCTTCTAAAATATTTTATGAAAAAAAACCAAAAACCAATTTACACCAACCAGCAGAAATTAAACAGAGAAATCAGAGGACAGAATAAACATTGCATGTCATCAAAAGCAGAAAACTGGATAACAGCAGCATTAAATTCATGCTGGTCTTAATGTTGTTTTGCCTCATTTTATATTTTTTTCCCTGTTTTTGCTTCTTTTAGTTTTTCATTCGTGTATGTGTGTGTGTGTATGTGTGTGTGTGTCTGTAATTTCAGAGGTACTAAAATCAAGTTGGCAATTTGAAGAAAACCATGATAAAGTTCTTGATAAATATTGAAGAAAAACTCACCTACTTTCTCTGCAATCCTGAGAATTTCCTTCGGGGAAAACAGCAAACGCAGTGAAGTGTGAAGGGCTTTTTACCAATTACTAGCTCCAACCCCTCCACTTCATAATCAAGTAAGCATCCAGAAAGTTTCAAGACATCCCAAAAGCTACCAGATTTTGGAGAGCTATTTTCGCTTATCGGTGTTTCTTGGCCCCACCTCCAAGGTCTCAGACACAGTAACTCTAAGGTGGGGTCTGATAATTAACATTCATTTTGTTTCTCTGCCAAGTCCGGAACAAAGTCTAACTAGGGTGGAGTCTGGTGATTTGCATTTATTTTGTTTCTCTCTAAAATCTTATGTAATATCTAATTTTTCATAGCCCCTTGATATATGTGTTTTTATTTTTATTTTATTTTTTTGTTTTTAAAATCTGATCTGAAATGTCTTTAAGTAGCTTACAAAGGGGTTTCAAGTCAACATGTCAATTATTATGTTGTGTTTCACTTTTCTTTTTGGTGCCAGTCTTGGGGCTTGAACGTGGTGTTTGCTATCTCTGAGCATCTTTTTGCTCAAGGCTAGTGAAGAATGTAAAAATATATAGACAGCACCTAACAGCCATTTTCACTTCTGTACCTTTGCTTGCTAAAAACTCTGCTTAAACCTTGAAGAGTGAAGTGAAAGAGGCAGAAAACTGGACTGCCCTCATCAAAGTAGGCAAGCACCCCCTGAATGAATTTATTAAAAGGCATGGAGTAACATCAATGCTTAATGTAATAGAAATTAGAAGTTATGATTACTAACTGCTCATTTTTGCTTCTGTGCGAATTGCTTTGTGCTAGATGATTTTATGGTTTTTGTATGATTTTAACTGTGACTGGTTTTAGTTACTCAGTAGTGGAATGTCAGCCTAGGAGCCCAGAGTTGCTTAGTAAAAGACTTCAAAGGGTTTACAGCCTTGACCAAGGGTGCAAAGTCCTCAGAATCATCCCCCCCCCCTCCAAAGCTGCAACGCCCTTCCTGGAGGCTGGGGCAGTAAGGCCCTAGGGAAGAAATATAATGTTTTAAGAAACCTAAGCAACTCCATTTTTGCTTAACACTCCATCTCAGTTCTGTGACTTGACTCGTGATCCACTTTAGTCCCAATGCTAGGAATTTATGACAGAAAGCCATGCACAATCTTGGAGCCATAGATGGCGTTTGCTTAAGGCAGGTGTTAGCCCCCAAATGGTGTTGCCCACCCCCCCAGCCACCTAGGACTAAGAGTTTCTAACTAACCAGTTCTTCAGAGCCCGGGGTGAGACATGCCATGCATTCTGTTGGTCCGGGTGTGACCCGTAACCGTTTTTCGGTCAAGCTATGGACCAAGGACATTTTTCTGTAAAGGTCAACCATTGCTTTAAATGCAAATGTTAAGCAATCATGTAATTTCTTATGTAAAAGTTCCTTAAAGTTGTTTGTTCAATACTATAAAAACTGCGCTGATTCTATGCTCAGGGCCTCTTAGTGTCACCGGTTACCGAGTGCGCGGAGGACCAAGTTCGAGCTTGCAATAAACCGGCTCTTTGTTGCTTACATTGATCGTGGTCTCTGGTGGTCTTCTGGGGGTCTCCGAATTTCAGTATAACACTAGTACTCTGCTACTGGGGGCTTTTTTTTTTTGAAGAGGTTAATTGGAGGTTAGAGTGTCACATACTTTTCTGCCGGCTGTCTTAGAACCAGGATCCTCAGATCTCAGACTCTGGAGTAGCTAGGATTACAAGTGTGAACCACTGGTGTCCAGCTCTTATGTATATTCTTAAATGAATCTCATGCGGTGACAAATTATCCAGAAGAAAGCCTTCAAGCTATACCTTGTAATTCTTTGTGTTTTCTCCTTACTTGAAGCTTACTTAAGCTGTCATTTTTTTACACTATTGAATCATGTTTCACTTCACTGTTTGCTGAAAGTCTGCAGCAGGAATATTAATTAGATTATTTGCACATAGAAAATTAAGAGTGAAGATAACTTCCTGTCTGAGGAATTGGTGCTTACTGGCAGCCACAACAGACTCTGGAAAAGTTGATATTTAGTCTCAGTTTGCTCAATGAGCTCAGTTCTTGAAAGGGTTTTGTTTTTCCTGAGGATCAAACAACAGTTTCCTGATAACTAAATATCCCTGCTTTTGTTGTTGTTGTTTTTTAATCTGTTGGCAACAGAAAATTCTACTTGACTACTGCTTCATAAAATGAGTGGATTCTTATAACCCAAGTGGCCTCCTGGACAGACTTTATTCATCCACTAAGTTACCATTTCAAAGGAGATTCCATAGCTTTGTCTCTCCCGCCCCCATTTCCTAATCTTGTTTCTTAACCTTAAGGAGGCAGAGTGGTGGGAAGAGCATACCTGTATTTTTTTTTTCCATTTACTTTCTGATTTTAGCCTGAGTCTGGCCTTTGGAGAACCTTCATCTATCTGTTTTTCATCAATTAATGCCAAATTTCATATTTCTATAAATTATTTCCTTGTCCTTTTAAAATGTCAATCCAATGTTTTGCTAGTTTATCTGAAATTTAAATTATTATACATAATGTGACGTTTTCCTATGGATAGAGTAATACTGCATGGAGCAAAGATCATTTTTAAAATGCAGAGTCTTTTAGACACCTCTCTTTTTCCCCACCTGTCCCCTTCAGCCTGAGATCATCTGTGTCATGTGAAGATGCTTTTA